ACTTTTTGTTGGTGTTTTCTTTTTTTCTTTTTTTCTTTTTTCTTTTTTTTTTTTTTTTCTGTACAACTCCATTATTTTCCATTATTTTGTAATGTTTTACATGCTTGGAAATAAAAATGTTACCAGGTTTCCCTCTTCAGCAAATAAGATGGGAGCAGACAACGGACCTCAATCAACGTAATGTTTGTAAAAGAATGTAAATGAATTCGAAAGAGGTGGGAGAGGGCAGAAGTATTTGCAACATGCATTAAAATTGGCTTTAGGCATTTGCATTTAATTTTAATGGTGTTTATGCCCCCTAGTGCCAGAAAGCGCTATTGCATCTCGATGTTCCGAATATTGACAAGTTTATTTTTCACGTCAGTCTCAATTATTTGATCTTTGTAAAAGTGCACATCCTGGATTTATTTTTACTATATATCTCCTGCAGTTTGAGAATTTATCTGTCGAGATCATTGGATGTTTGGGAATTTTCTGCCTATGGTAAATGATTGCAAATTTGCATTTCTAATCTCTGAAGCGCATATAAATTAATCACTACATAGAAATAGAAATATTCTTTTGATTATTTTACCCTCCAGAATGCAGTTAATTTTCATTTGAAAAAGAATGACTCCTGAGTTCTAGCAAACAGACACTTAAAAAGCAGCATTGTCAATCTCATTGATAAAGATTGTTAAAGGAAAGACCTTTGCTCAGAGAAAAATGGCTGAAGGGTAAGAGTTGTTTCAAATAATCAGAGATGACAGATGATCTGTCTTAGATTGAACAAGAAAAAAAAAAAGCAGTCGTCATTGGACTCAGTAATAAGACAAATATCTGAAGATGAGAGAAATACTGATTCAGATTTCTTGAATTCTCAGTGTGCAACATTGGGTGTATTATCCTCAACAGTTAGAAAAGCAGTATCGCTTTGGCAGGTGGGCGTCTGTAGGTTAGCTCTGACATAGTAATATTTTTGGGTACAGAATGGGCATTTGTAATTCTAAATACATCTGTTTTTCCCAAGCTCCTACAAAGCCCACCCTTATGTGTGTGGTTCAATCTGCATTTCAAGCCTCCACATCTGTCATGCAAAGCTTTAAGAAATCATGCCCCTGTTGCTCAGGTTAAAGATCCAGTGTTAATTCTCAAGACTTGCAGTCTTCACTTGCAGTATAGAATCAAATGTGCAGACATGTTCTGTTGCCCGTTGAATACAAACAACTGGGACAAACATTCCATTAAATCCATCCATTTAGTCTATCCCTTAATAAACAGAGAGCCATGGACTGAAGCAGTAGCACATGTCTGACCTGTCTGGACCATGTCCAGTAAAACCAATGCATTAATTTGATCACGTAGTTTCTGACTTGTGATTTGATAGAACTTGACTGACATATCTAGTTTGTCACATCCTTTTCACTTCCTTTTTTGGGTAATGTTGAACGCCTCTGACGGATAACACAGATAAACATGGCATCTCTTCTTCCTCACTTCATCCAGGGTTTACAATATTGTGATGACACTTTTGATGTTGCAAAATTAGATTGTCAGTAGAAATCATAAATGCCCAAAGACCAACGTGGGCTTTGGCCACAATGAGACATAAATGGAACAGACTATATATAAAGCTATGAAAAGATTGATTGAAAGTAGGAAAAAAAACCCAAAACACTTACAGGAGAATATGTTTGCAGTTACAGTCTAAATAGCAGGGAGACAAGCAGAGTACTACATAAAACCCTGAAATAATTCCCTTTTGAGAAGTCTATGAAAATTTCCTAATAAAATTCAATATTTGTTGTGTTTCCTTCACCGAAGAGATCAAATTCGCGGCAGAAATCAACATTTGTCTTAAAGATTCAAGCATAATTTTCCACTTTAAAATACAAGAACCACAAAGCTAAGTCTAAAATCTGAGGTATTTTTAGTGCAGATTTTCCAAGGAAAGTTACAGATGAGGTGAAGGGAGAAATTCTCCCTTTGTTTTCTGTCATCCACTTCCATTGATGGTACTCACTGATATACGAAGTACAACTAAAGGTAAACTTTAACCAGCAGGAGGAATTTCAATAACAATTTTAGTCATGCCGATGCTAGGCTAAAATCTGTGTCACTGTCCCAAAAGAGAACAAGGCTAGCCAGGGTAGTAAAATCTCCTTTAGTGAGTGAACATATTTATCATGCAGTACAGGTGGAGTAATGTCTTGGCAGTCATATTTTCTGAACGTAATTTTATCTAAACCTCCCGAAAACTGTTTATCAACAGGAGAAAAACTAATTATGTTAGGGTTATTAAAGATGTGAAAAGTATTATTAGCACTAAACAGTGGACAAACAGCATTACTTTTGGAAAATGTCACTGTAGTACAATTCACTCAGGCTGAAAAACAAATAAAAGCAAGTTATTTCAAAATAGGTGATATATCCATCCTTTCATTTTGCTCAGAAATGATTAAAAACATTGTAAAATACCTTCACATATCAAACATTATTTTTTTTGTTTAATTCCATATCACTGAAATACCATGAAAAGCTGTCTCCTCATATTCCTAGGTAGGTCACACATAAATAGTGAAATTTTGGAGATGTATCTGCTATGACTCCCATCACCACACCTAAAACATCAGTTTGTGGTTAACTCACCTAATTATGGTGTCACATATTGAGCAGGGTGGTATATCCCTGAGCAACTTCAAACCAAATTAGAGCTAGAAATGCCTTCAGTTCACAGCAGCTACTGGTGCCAATATAGGCTTATGACGGTTCAGCACTTTCACATTTCAAGTGATAATTTTAGTTATCTAAATATAGGCTTAGTAATCTAGTTTGATAGGTCTGTCCTAATAGTACTAGATGTGTATAAATTTTGTATTTCAAGTTCTGATTGTGTCAAGTGTGTGTAAATATATCCAGCCTTCTAAATAGCTTTCCGTTGATACACTTGAATTCAATTTCTGAAACTACTTGGGTCATAGCCTAAAGAAAGAAGCAAAACACTGACAGTCCCTGTAGCCAATAATGTTTACCACTGGTCTCATCCTAGGCCTTCCCTTTTGAGCAAACTTCTGGCCACCCATTACACCCAGGTGCTCACAGGGCAGCGTGGGGGTGCTGGGCAAACCCTCCAGCCCACAGCAGCCCCGTGCTTCCATTCATTCACCATTGCTGAAAAAAGCTGGGTGCAGTAGTTAAGTGTCAGGGATCCCATTCAGCAAAGGGATCTCGAAAAGCTGATTATCCTCCCACATGCCCAACAGTTGTCTATGTATCACCTCTGAGAACGGCTGGTTGGCTTAGGAAGAAAAGCACCAAAAAATACCCTTTGTTGTAAGGCACGAATGTTAGTAGCTTAGTAAAGCTCTCTTTCCAGTGTTCTTTATTTTATACATCCTGTAATTGAGACAACCTGTAGCATTAACTTAGAAGATGGTTTCTATTACATGGTGTCATTTTATCCACTCCTGCATGTCACAAAATCAGCAATTATCAACACTGAAATTCTGAGGGGGTGACTATTTTATTAGTACAAATATTAATATACTTTTTTCCTGTGAATGTTTTACACCTGGGCATGCCTTATAAAGCAGCTAAACATTTATTTTACACAACATAGTCACGGTCAATAAACTTAGACTTGGCCATCTATATTATGTCTGCCTGGATGAACCTTATTTGAATCTTTGAGTTAAATACCTTCTTCTTATCTTACAAAATTCAAGTCATTCATCTTCACCCACAAGGTGATATATGATCTCCTTCACACACAGGTTGAGCTCTCGTTGCTAGAAAGCATTCTCTAACCATGGTTAGACAGTCCCTCTTCTCATGATTATGGACACAATTTGGACCATGTAATTTGAAGACTCCACCCTAACTTATCTATTTGTCTTACTAGCTCCTGCTGAACTGCTTTTCTTTTCCAGATAGCACTCTCCAAATACTGTCTGTCCTGCAGTTTTATTTCTTACCTTTTTTCATATCGTTGTAAACTCTGCAGTAGAAAATACGCTGTGTCTTTGTACACAAGGACATGCTACAATCTATGTTTATTAATAGTTTAAAACTCACTTGAAACAGAATGGTACTTGCAGGTAATGTATCTCTTTATTAAACTCTGTAGTATGTAATTACATCCTTGTCCTATAGAATATGGCAGTCTACAAAGTGCAAATAGCTGATATCTCTTAATAAGCTGTCATGGGAATCCCTCTACATACTTCTCAGCAACGCTATGAGAAATATTATATAGTTGCTGGAAAAAAACAATATCCAGCATCATAAAGAAATGTGGTAAATTCCAGCCTGAGTAATTCTGAACACTGCCAGTATTTGCAGATTTCTTTGATTGTTTGCATTTGTAGCTTGAGTTTCTGGGGTTTGCTTCTGGCTACATGGAAAAATGTTTAGACTACAGAAGGGACCTCTGAAGGTCAGATTTTCTAGCCTCTCACTCAAAGAAGTCCTATCAACAACAATAGATTAGGTCAGATGTATTTCTGTTCAGCCAAGTCTTGAAAATCTCCAAGGATAAAAAGTTCATGATCTCCTGGGCTTCCAAAATACACTGCCCTCCTAAATGAAAGCTCTATATCAGCTTAGTGAGAATATAGATTATTCAGCTTGGCATCTAACTTACCAAGTGATCTCCTGTGGTTCTCATCAGTGGAAAGCAGTGAGTTCTTCGATCAAACAGAGCAAGGACTTTGACCCTGAGAATTTTTCCATAGGCAGGTCTGTCTTCATTGCAATAGAGTCAGCTTGGGAAGACTTGAGCAGCTAAAACACAGATGCTCACAGTTGATCAACAGGATACCAAACGTTACCTTAAAATTAAAAAAAATGCATGCCCAGCACTAGGCTTGCTGTGTGGATAAACATGGATGTGTGTAAAATATTATATCCATCAAGCATTATTTGCAAGAAAAGTAAAATCTATTGTGCAATTAATTTATCTTGAGATTCAATACTTAAAAGAGATTTTGTCTTTGCTAAGGGTTTTATTTTCTTTAACCCAGATATGGTGACATGGTGCCGAAGACAATAGCTGGCAAGATTTTTGGTTCAATATGCTCCTTGAGTGGAGTGTTAGTGATTGCTCTGCCAGTTCCTGTGATTGTCTCCAACTTCAGCCGTATCTACCACCAGAACCAACGAGCAGACAAGCGCAGGGCACAAAAGGTGAGCTCCTCAATTTTGTGCCTTTTGATACTGAGAACAGTTTAAAAGCAATTTTTTATGTATCTCGAAAGTGAGTATCATTTATTACAAAGATGACTGCTATGTGTATACATTACATGCCAAGCCAGAGTTCCAGATGTAAATACCGTGTTATTTTTAATTTAAATAAAAATGGTTCATTTATCTTTCTTTGTCAAAATGTACAGATGTAATTACAGATGTAATTCATCCTAATTGTTAGACCAGATCTACTGTTTTTAGGCAATACCTGTAGTACTGCCTTCTGAAAGCATCATTTTTCAGGAAAACTTTCTTTCCTCGAGAGTGCTCTGAGAAGAAAAAAAGAAAAAAAGAAAAAAAGAAAAAAAAGAAAAAAAAGAAGAAAAAAAAAACCAACAACACCTAAAAACCTAAGCATTACTTCTAATGTCTGTCTTAACAGCCAGTTTCACTAATCCATTTGTTTAATTCCCAGGTGAACTCTCTGGGGAATCTGACTATTGGGAACTTGTCTCCTTAGCACTTCTTTGCTTAAAAGGCTTCAGAAAAAGCTGAATCTGGAAAAGAGAAAAACAAAAGTCTTTTTTTTTTTCAGCTTTCTTGGTGACTGATATCACCAAAATATCAACTAGCTCTCTATGAAAAAGCATTTTTTCTCCCTGACCTACAAGCACAAGGCCAAGAATCAGGAAGACCTATTTACCAGGAAAGATGCAGCCAAGCCAGAGCAGCACCATTGTTTCCAGCCCACATCTAAAATGCCAGTCCCAATCCACTTTACTCAGCCTTCTGAATGAGAAATGTCTTGTATGGCCTTTCTTGACACCTGAAGCACTGATAAGAGATTGTAATTGATCTGCTATTTACTCTATGGAAAAGGTTCATCAGCCAGTGGGCCCAGAGATTCTGAAGGGTCCAGTGAGAGTGGGATCCCTGCCCACAAAAGTGTGCAGGCAGGTCATGGATGAAGAATATACATGTTGAACAAGGGAACAGAGGCTGCATCTGCCTCCTAAAGACAATAGCAATTAGTTTAGAGATTATAACATGAAAAACAAAAATTTGTTATTCCTGGCCACCTTTTTGACTGATGATTCAATAGAAAGGAAGTGAAATAAACAAACAGTGATATAAGTCTTGGAAAATCTTTGAATCAGGAGAAACAGAGGTACATTGCCAAGAAAGTCAGTCATAGATCTGGGATGAAGACGTTGTATCCTTTAAATAGCCACATCTTGAGAGACTTGGGAAAATGGCTACCAAAGAGAACAGGGTATCCCAGAGACACTTAGAAACCTGATTTCAAATATAGGCTGTTTCAGTGCTCCAAGTATCATATCTCTCCCATCTACTAATTACACACATCCTTTTGCATCATTTTGTCCTATGTCCCAGTCATATACTCCCTTCTCCCACAACTGGAAAACACGGAGAATACATAACTTGTACATGATTTTTGTAGAGAATTTTTCATTCCTATTATGTAATGGCAGTAAAGAGTGAAAGAACTGTATGTACCAGCAGAACGCAGTGCTTCATTCCTATGCCTCAGAGCACTGTGCCAGTCATGGATAACAGACCTGCTTGATCCCAGCAATCAATGTGCCTGTTCTGAGCTTTCATGACTGCACAGACCAACCAGCCTTACTTCAGATACACACAGCCGCCTACCGTATAATGTTGAATAAATTTTTCTATATCTGATTTGCACTTTACAGTGAAAAAGAGATGGAAATTGGGAAATACCTTACAAAAATCAGATCAGCAGACTGGCGGATATTCCCTATAGTCTCTTCCTGAATAGAAACTGTTTAATAACTGACTTTCTCTCCTTGAAAAACAGTGAGCTCATTGTATGCCACAAACAGGAATGTGAAGTGATGAACGGCAAGTCCGCAAAATCTCGTTTCCTCTGCTTCCCAGAACAGTGCCAAGAGTAAGGATCACAGATTTACCCCGACCACATTTATATCCTTCTTGCTTTAGTAAAAAATGGCTTTAAGGTCTGGTTAATGTAGCACTAGAAATGTTTCATTGATTTCTCCTATTGCAAAACTTATCTTCTCTCTCATTTTAAAATGACTGAGAGGATATGAACTGAATATTGCTCTGAGGGACTGAAAGAAAAGTCAGCAAAAAGAACTTACTGAATACTGCACTGTCTGTATTTATCAATATTTACCTATGAAGTATAGATTTGCATTTCACAGGAGAGCTCCACTACCTTTGTTTAAGGTGTCCAGGCCACCAGGTTGGCTGCAAGCCATGATCATAGCGCAGCAGGAGGCACTGAGGTGGTGGCCCTGCCCAGCCTGCCATCCCTTACAAAGCTCCCTCCCGCTCCCTCACTTGGCTATTGGCTGTGGCTCAGCAGAATGTCCTGACAGTGAAGGGGCCTTGGTCTAGCAGGTAGAGATGAGCAACAGCAGTAGTAAGAGAGCACTACCAACAGCAGCACTGTGACTTAAACAAGACTACTTTAGAATTAAGAAAGATCCAGTGCCTTATACCTGTTCAGAACCCCTACCATCTAATATCCCGACAACAAAGTGCCATTCAAGGAACCTGAAATGACTCCCTTTGAAGGTGGCTACTGTCATAGGAAATTAATATTCTCTAAAGAAATTCCTTTTAAACCTCTTAGTATGTATATGATTACACCTATTGAAAGGTTTGAGTGTAACAGAAGGCTGTGTCTTTCAATCACTGATTTCCACCATAACTCATGGAATCCAGCTTGGTCAGTTTCAACAGTGTTGATGGGCTGTCTTACTTTTACAGTAGAAAAGGACCTCACAGTGGGTAGCAGAGTTCACAAAAACTGCTGTTGCACAAAGTTTAGCATTCAGTGTTCCATTAGCACCTGCCAACCATCCAGGCCTCCAGCAGGCCTGTCAAAACCATGGACTCTTAGGTGGAGCTTTGGCAGAATTATTTGTTAGTTGGATTTGCAGTCTTTGCCATACAATCAAATCTGTACTGAGAAATGTAGTTGCAAGAATGAGTGGAAAAGAAATCCAAGAGGTAGTTCCTGAGTAAGTGAGACTCTGAGCATCTGACTTTTGACATTAGGATAAACTATGTTTTTAATTTGTTTTGAGCCAAGAAACTACAGGCCTGTCAGTCTTACCTCCATCCCTGGGAAGGTGATGGACAACTTATGTTGTTCAAAGTACAGCATAAACCCTTGCAAGAGATGGTACTGCCTGTTTGCTACAACAGGCTTCCATCTAACTAAGAAAACTGGATATTGGAATTTGGAAATTCCTTTATCAGTATCTCATAGATAATTTCAAACACAGTAGCCTTTATCATGGATAAATTCAATCAAAAAAGCCTTTAGAAATGACCAAACATTTGGGCAGTAAGGAAACTTGATAGAATTCAGTGAAGTGCTGAAAGCTAATCTTAGGAGACTTATTGAAGATCCATGTGACCACCAACACATGCATTTACTGAATTCCATGCTGTCCTTCAAGATTAAAAAAATAAAATAATGCTGCATATTAATGCTCAAGAGAAGGAAGTGAAATTTATAAATATATCATCTCATTTTGAATGCATTTTAAAGGAAAATCCTACTTCTAATTATGAAAATGCATTGTTGTAAAAGAGACCTCAATATAAACAATAAATAAAAAATAAAAATAAAAAGGGAAAAGGAAAAAAAAATTGTTATCTGAACATTTTCCTCTATCAGCTATTGATGTCCAAGAATCAGAACTTATCTGGCAATAGATAGATAAATAATACAACCTACATACAGGAGTTTGCACTCAGGGCTTAACTAATTATTGTCTACAGTCTTATTTTGCTTTTTCCTCAAGCAGATTTATCAGAAGTGTAGACAGTTTTGAAGAACGCTGCTTTTCTCAGCTAGAGACAACTGCAGGAGGTCAAGTTATTTTCATTTCTCATCAGTGCCTTCAAGTGGCAAATCTAATGACAGATGTGTTGTGACTGGTCCATACGGAAACAAACAGACGGAAACAAAAATGGAAACATAAACAGAAACATGACAGCTAGCTCCAAAATCTGACAATGCATACGATTCAACTTGATTCTTTCATATTATTATGGCCTTCTATTTTCACGTTGGAAAATACTTCGTAAAGATTGGCTGGGCTCATATTTCATTATTTACTGGTCATACTTGATGTATTTATCTATCAAGTATAAATAATTAGGCACTAGATAAATATAAATAGCTTTAGGACAAATTACAATAACTGCTTAATAGCACCTAGAGCCAAGCTTTTGCAATAAGGAACCATGCTACGAATGCAATTTATTTTAGCTTAAATAGGGTATTAGCCTCAGTGAAGTTGTAGAGATAACCAGTGGAATAGCTTACCTAAGATCTTTGAAATTCAGCAAAAAAGCACTCAAGTTTACTGAGTTTGAATAGAGTGTGAAACCTTTTTAAATTGCACATCTACTAACATACAAAGTAAACAGCGTTTTCCTCTCTACTGCATGCAGATGTTCTATAAATTATTTTCTGTAATTTGAAGTTAACTACTAGCAATTACTGAAAATGAGAAAAATCAGAGCCTGATTTTTCACTTGAAAGCAAATATATACAATGGATTTATGAAAGACCAAACAAACAAATGACTTAAACACAATGGGACTAACCTTCAGATCATTTTGACCATTGCTTAAGAGCCACAGAAAGGCTAGGAAGGAATTTTTACTTTCTAACTGTACAAGGTCATTATAGAAATAACACCTGTAAGGTAAGTACGTTTTCAGTTTCTGATACCAAGACAATTAAGTAGTCTGGAGAGCAGCAGAAGGGAAACAAAAGGAGCTATGTAGCTATTAGTTTTAAAGGGGCAGGCTACCTCAGTTCTTGCATAGCAGACAGAAGAGAGGCTCTTGTCAAAAATTATTCCAGTACCATGATAAACTGTGCCCTGAAGTATTTCTGACAAAATCTCTCTTACCATCTTGAGGGTATCTTGAGTTCTTAAAGCTGGATACTGTAAATATCCCACGGCACAACATTTAGCGCTGTTTAAAACCTTGTGAAATTGTTCATTTCTAAACTTTCTAAAACTGACAGTCACCAAAGAAAAGTGTTTTCCTTTTGTATGATTCCAATTATTGCAGTCATAATCAGGACCCACCTTTAAGTTACAAAATTAGAAAATAGAAAATGAAGCAAAGCATTCAAAAGAATTCAGGGCAATACAGGAGATGCTGTAAGAATTGAAGCTGATCATTAGTTCTGTTAGAAAGTTTCATGTTAGATTATGGTGGAATTTCATCCCAGTAAAAGAACTTTGTTTTAACTCATGGTTTTTCCCCTAGACACTGTAAAAATTACCAAAATCAAGGTTTCACACTGAATGGGTAACTCTGAAAACCTCATAGCAAAGCAGATAACCTATTGCGGGAGAATTTAATCCCTTCCTTTTTTTTCCAGATATTCCTATGAAAGGACAGTTAGAAAGGACACTGAGGTGACTGAAAGGGACAGTTATCACTTCTTTTCTGCTGTACATGACAGAAAAGACTGAAGACTAAAGAAAATTACAATTCTTCCATAGTCACAGTTTTTCTGATGTTATCACACAGTTTTGGTGTCCTTCCTGGGAATTCAGTCCCCAGTGTGCAGCTCTTAAAATCCTGTGGATGACATGAGCTTTTAATGATTCCTCGTTAGGAAACATGGGCAGACACTGGAATGCTCAAGCTATGGGCTCTGATCTGATCAGTCAGAAGAACTGAAAAGAAAATGCTGTAACATGTTTGTAAACACATCCAATTTCAGGGGTATTTTCTACATAGGTCACTCCAAAAGTAGTGCCTCCTTCTTATTTCCATGGAAATTACAACAGATACAAAGAGCACATTAACACTGTTTGATAGAGAACATTTTCAGCTACAGAACACTATTTTTAAACATAACCACCTCCATTAGCTGTGCACTTTTGCCACAATGAAAAAGAGCTGCATGCTGCAATTGTAACAATCTGCACTAGCAGAGGTGACCCACTGTGACTGTCACTACTGCTGAATGGCACCACCACCACTCACTGTGCTCACATCCACTGTTTGGTCTCCACAAATGTTCAGCAAGCAGCAATGAACAGGTGCAAGTTTTCCTGTACGGAGAAGTTCAATTCCACACCTTTGCTTCACACGCGCTTCCGTGTTAGACACCATTTGTCAGACTCTGCTGCCATCTGTCACACAGCAACAACATGTAATGGAATATTGGTGGGAAAGTTCAACCTCTACTGCAATACCACCAACACTGTTGTTGTGGGTCAACATCATAAAATAGGAGCAGCCCTCATGTAATCTGAAGTGTAAGCAGGCAAGCTGCATGCAATACCTGGTTGCCTCCTTTGTAATAGATTTATTGTCTCCACTTTAATAAATTATGTAAATTCTGGCCATCTTAATGAGTTTCAGCTAAGAAGATGTAAGCTATTAGTTCCCACCTCAGAGAGGTCCTTGAGAGCAACCCTGTGGAGAGGGACCTGGGGATGAAAAGCTTAACATGAGCCAGCAGTGTGCCCTTGTGGCTCAGAAGGCAAATGGTATCCTGGGCTCCATCAGAAGAGGGGTGGCCAGCAAGGACAGGGAGGAGGTTCTCCCCCTCTGCTCTGTTCTTGCGAGGCCCCATCTGGAGTACTGCATCCAGGTCTGGAGCCCCCAGGACAAGAAAGAGAGAGAGCTGCTGGAGAGGGTCCAGAGGAGAGCCACGAAGCCACAAAGACTGGAGCACCTCCCCTATGAGGACAGGCTGAGGGAGCTGGGCTTGTTCAGCCTGGAGAAAAGAAGGCTGCAGGGTGACCTCATTGCAGCCTTTCAGTACTTAAAGGGAGCCTACAAACAGGAGGGGAATCAACTCTTTAAAAGGGTAGATGACTGCAGGACAAAGGGAAATGTTTTTAAGTTTTGGGAGGGAAGATTTAGGTTGGATGCCCGGGGGAAGTTCTTTACAGAGAGAATGGTGAGGTGCTGGAACAGGCTGCCCAGAGAGGCTGTGGATGCCCCGTCCCTGGAAGTGTTCAGGACCAGATTGGATGGGACCCCAGGCAGCCTGGTCTAGCATTAAACGTGGAAGTTGATGGCCCTGCCTGTGGCAGGGGGTTGGAGCTTCATGATCCCTGAGGTCCCTTCCAACCCTGTGATTCTGTAATAAGTGGTGCAGTACCATAATTATTACTTCAGCCACTGGAAGAGGAAATGAACATACAAGCTAAAAGGAAAAGCAAGATTATTGTTAGTATGTTTGTTCTTAAAATTGAATGAATTTCCTTATAAAAGTCATAAAAACTTTTGTGGCTGAAATCACTTACTTATAAGACTGCAAGTTGCACTCTGCAATAGCATCTCCAAAGCATCTCAAGATCCTAGTGAGGAACAGTGCTAAGAGATTTTTCGTATATTCTTGAACACAGCATGTGCACATTTCAGCCAGATTCTAGCCATGCTTGCTGTTAGCTGTCATGAATTTCTTCACTCATCGTTGAGAACTTCAGTGAGATTGAGGCTGTGAGTGCAAAGAAGTATGGTGTTGAGTCATTCCTTGCAGTGAATTATTAGTCCTACCAGAGAGACGATCTTGTGGCTGCAGTGACTGGGCTTCTTCCTGCTACGTTAAGCACTCAAGGATTCTTAGTTTTCCAAGTTCTTCACCTTGTCACCTTCTGTGCTTCAACAGCCATTAAATTCCTGATGCTTTCAGAATCAGAAACCTAAGCTGGAAGGTAAGCCCAAACTCTGTTATACAAAAGGAACCACACACAAAAGTTACAGAACTAGGATACCATTCTAGAACTGTCACAAATGCTTCAATTTTACATAGCATTTGTCAAGAGGCTCTTTTCTTTATGCTTTCCTCTGCACTGGGTGGAGAGGAACACAATCAGATTCAACAAAGGCAAGCGTGGAGTCCTACACCTGAGGAAGAATAACCCCCGCATCAGAATAGATTAAGGGCTGACCTGCTGGAATTCTCTGTGGAGAAAGACTTGGGTTTCCTGAAGGGAGACAGGATGGCCATGAGCCAACAGTTTGCCATTGTGGCCAAGGAGACCAGTGGAATACTGGGGTACATTAAAAAGAGTACGGCCAGTAGGTCAATTGGAGGTGGCACTCCCCCTCTACTCTTCCCTGGTGAGGCCACGCCTGGACCACTGTATCTGGTTCTGAGCTTTTCAGTTCAAGAAAGACAGAGGACTCCAAGAAAGGATCCAGCAGAGAGCCACAAAGATGATGAGCGACCTGGAGCATCTCCTTTATGAGGAAAGGCTGAGAGATCTGGGACTGTTCAGCCTGGAGAAGAGAAAGCTGGGAGAGAATCGTAACAAAGCTTATAAACATCTAATGGGTGGGAGTCCAGTGGATGGGACTAGGCTCTTTTCAGTGGTGCCTGGAGACAGGAGTCTCCTTCTCTGGAGACTTTCAAAACTTGCTTTCCTGTGTAACCTACTCTGGGAAGCCTGCAGCAGGGGATTGGACAAGATGATCTCCTGAGCTCCCCCTTGCCTATGATTCTCTGATTCTGAAATGATGGCTTCCAACTGTTCTGTAAATCAGTGGATTCAAAGCATCCAACAATATACTTTCTCGGGGATGAAAGTCGCCTACATAAACAAGAAGGCTCACTTGAGTACTCTCAAACCAAATCTCTTTCTCAGCACTTGGATGACTGCTGTCTCTGAAAAACCAAATTATGGACAGATTATGATCAACAATGATGACTATTAAGTCTCATTATAAAAACGCACATTAAAAAAAAAAAAAAAAAAAAAAAAAAAGTGGTTTTAAAAGGCCTGGCAGGCATTTAGGAATTTAAATCAGAGACTAAAAACAACCACTGCATTCCTTTATTCCAAAAACTCAGAAATCTCCAAGAAGCCAGCTTATAGCAGTTGCAGTATTATGGTTCTACGAGTTATTTCTTCCTCTTTGAACAATCACTGCCAGAGCAGCCAAGATGAAAGCCATGCTCCTGATCTACAAGGCACAGACATACAGGAAAAAAAAAAAACAAAACAAGAATCACTTACATGCTGGTCTGTCTAATCCCCTCTCCAAAATCATTTTTCTTCTCAGCTGAGGCATGCAAACAAATAAAAACTTGTTTCTTGCATTTCTATGAGTAGACATTTGTGATTGCTCCACCTGGAGGACAAATGCAGTGCAACCTTTCAGTGATTGTGACATTGGTATTCATAAACAGCTGGTTCCAATTAGTAGTTTTAGATAAACAGAATAATGGATACAAGTGCATGTGACGCTCTTTTATTTTGTCTGTTTATGCAGAAAGCAAGACTTGCTCGAATTCGTGCAGCAAAGAGTGGGAGTGCTAATGCCTACATGCAGAGCAAACGGAATGGCTTACTGAGTAACCAGCTGCAGCAGGTAATGTGTTTGTGTCCTCCACCTCCACAGTAACAGCTTAATAACAGCATAGCAGCAGTTTACTCTATTTCTCACTAGGGCACATCAACTTGGGTCTTTAGGCAATGTTGTCTTTAGAGGTAGATTAAGGAAAGATAAGCTGGGCAATTATTACTGCTGAAGGTACTTTACAGGAGCTGATGATAAGGTAATTAAAAACAAACAAACAAACAAAAAAAAAAACCACACACACACCAAGAGAGGAAATGGCCAGATCGAAACACTGTGCTCAATGTAAGCTGGGTTTTTAGAGGCAAATCTTACAGAAAAATCTCTTAAGAAAGCTTAGTTCATTTGCCTTCTAGGATAAGCTTATCTCATTTGGCTTTATGCAACTAGAACACGTGTGACAGTCCCTTGTGCTGAGTGAGAGAGGTAGATGTAGGGTACTGTTGGCACAGTGCTGCAGAGTGGCAAATGTTCCCTGGAAGTGCCTACTTTGTTTTTCTTCTTGCAACAACCTCAGCCATTACTCCCAGGTGCAGCAGGGCCCACAGGACGGCAAGCGGCCGGAGGCAGCCCCTGGGCTGTGCAGAGCTGAGCACTGAGGGCTCAGTGTTTGTCAGTCCTTGCTACTTTCTGGCAGCTCCCTGAGGGATACAGGAAGGCTTTCATTCCTCTGTGCCCTTCCTGTTTAAGAAGCATTATAAAGGCTAACGTTTTAGCATATAGCCAGGAGAAGAGGAAGGTACTGTGATTTAGCATAAAGGGAAGCGGTCAGAGCTCTCGATTCCTCTTCTGCTCAGAAGAATTCAAATCACTGAAAGAGACACCAAATGGCTTCATTGCCATGCAGCTTTCAAATACCTCAAAGTTGAATTGTAATGTTTCCTATTATCCCACTTCCTCCCCTATTTAGTTTTCTGGCTTCCAGTGAATAATTACAAAAGCAATTAATAAACAGTGGATGCTTTCTACTTAATTCTTCATTCTGTGTCAGTAACATCTGTTGTACGCTCTCTGCAGTCAGCAGATTGGGATCACTGACATGACTTTTTGTGTAAGCTGCAATACCACACATTCTTCAGTGCAGAGAAACGATCCCAAGAGGACAACTCTATTTAATTTCCTTCCAATAAGGCACATTCCTAAGCAAAAAATATTTTACTGTCACTGAAACTTATGTTAACTGTAAGTATGTACTAATGCAAAATTCAAGGCTTGCACATCGATTGGTCTTGGAAATCATCTTAGGCAACCTATATAGGTATTAAAAGACCGAAAATAGAAATATTTAAAAGGAGATGCAAGGGAAGGATAGGAATACTTTAATTTAAAGAGAAAAAAAGTAAAAGAGTAATCGCATCCACGGTCATTTGGGTTATCCCATGTGGAGCAGGCTTTACAGTTATGCTACAGTATACAATCCAGATTAGTTCTGATCAAATACTTGGATAAGAGCCCTCTTGTTCACAAATGAGACTAATACGGAGTTCTTTGTATTAACAGTCCTCCAGTGAAGAAGAACAGGCCTTTGTTAGCAAATCTGGCTCTTCCTTTGAAACGCAGCACCACCACCTGCTTCACTGCCTGGAAAAAACTACGGTAAAAAAAAAAAAAAATGTTTTCCTGTAAATTTCAATATTAGCCTGAATTCTGAATGTTTTCAGTATTTTGTTTAAGTAATAAACCTTTTGTGAATGTGATTAGTTGGGGAGAAAAGCCATTTAATTGTATTTTAAAGCACGGTACCTTCTGCATTTGAACAGGAAAGAGAGAGGCAGATGAGCGCTTTGGCTAGTGTGAAAGGTAATGTGATATCAGCCTAGCCTAGCAGCATACATGGTCTTCAGTGTGCAGGTGATGGAGCACCAGCACAGGCTGCCCTGGGGCTGTGCAGTCTCCTCCTTGGAGATCTTCTATAGCTGCCTGGACACCACCCTGGCATCCTGCTCTGGGTGTCCCTGCTGGAGAAGGGTTGGGCCTCCAGAGGTCCCTTTCGACCTCAACCATTCATCTATTTTGCAACTTCTCTTTAAGATCAGGATACAAAGTGGAACTTTGTTATTTCATCATAATGTTCCTTTTTATTTTATTTATTTATTTTTTAATTTTTAATTAAAGGACATAGCAATTCTTTCAGTGCATTTAATGGAGAGTAATGTGAATGCCTTACTACTCCTTCTCAAAATAAAAATAAAAATAAAAATATAAGGTTTTCCCTTTCCAGACAGTGCTGAAATATTATGTATTCATGTATATAAATCAGTGTTCTCCTTTGGACAACTTTTTCTTGTAAATAAAATGGCCCATTTGTTATATCACTTAGCTAGTAATATGTCATCTCACAGTGCTTATGTTTTTCCTTGCTCACCTTTGGAATATTCATTTTTATATAATGGGTTGTAGGACACAATGTCTTATTTCCTATTCAGAGCATAATGTAGTTACTTTGCCAGTATTCAGGCTGGGTCCTTTTGGAACATTTTTGAGACATTCTGTACTAGAACCTGATAATAGTAATCTGCCTTGAAATGTTCCACAGTTGAATATTACAAATGTATTTTGAAAACTTAGTAGTAGCCACAGGTCTTGTTAAATTCTCATAGTAGTCATCAAAAAAATCCATTTGGTGGAATTCAACCCCCAAACATTCACATTTCCTCTAATTATAATGATGGAATATGGAAGCTTTATGTAAGCAACTGTCTGGCCAGATTTTGCATTCTAAAAATTTAAGAGGCAAGTAGAAAGTTTAGGCACCCAGATTGTGGAATCTGGAAAACAGCTGTTTCCTGGTGTACCAACAAGAACAAGATGCCTTCTTAGTCTCTCCTCCTTCAAAATAACTACTTTTGACTGTGGTTTATACCAATTGTTAGGCAAAGGAGTACTTTTTCTTTTCCAACAAATTAAAGCCAATATGATAAAATCTTTCATACTCTATGAAACGCAGCATGAGTAATGTCATGGAATTCTGTGAAAGTTACATTAATAACGAAAATAATTGTACCAAATGTTATATTTTGTAGGCTACATTTAGCTGATGCAAGAAAAGTTAATTTATAAGTATAATCAAATAGATTAACTGGAGCCATTATATCATTTCAAAATGTTTCCAGTCTATATTAAAAGTTCATTCAGCAGCCTTCTTTAATGGACCCTGCTAATTGAATTCTGTTGGTTGCTCCGTAAAAGTTTTCAGAAGAACAAAATAACTTTCAATGGGAAAATGAGCATAACTATTGGCAAATAGAATCTAAACCCTCAAAGAGAACCTGAAGACAGTGATTAGGTCTTTTCTTCTCTCTGAATGTCCACTGTCCATTTGTGTGATAGTATTTAGAATCTTGTTTGTTGCTGACACGTGCTCTAGAGTAGTCGATTTTTCAAGATAATTCTTTCTTTCCGTATCACTTGAAATGGGTATTCTTCAATATCAGTCAATTCCACACACATTTATGTTTGAGTGAAGGAAAAGAGAAGAAACAGAAATGATAATAAGCCTATGAAGGTGTTTCCATTTTTTAGCAATAGTTGGCTGCAGTTGATACACTATTTATTTTGCTCACATATTTCGTATTTGCACTGTACCGCAATTCTCCTGGAAAACATGAGCCCCTTTCCAATTAGTGTGTCCTTCTTTAAGGGAAAAATAGTTTTTCTCTTTCCAATAGATAAACATGCTGCAGGCTAACAAACCTGAAGTGAATGACACTGAGGAGAGTGTGAAACAAAGCATAAGCCCTAAACATTTCCAGGATATGCAGATAATTCCAGTGATAACTTCAAAGAGTTTAGAAAAAAGGTGGCTTTCCCCAAGTGCATGTGAATGTGTCTTAATCTCTGTTTAGTTTGGACTGCTGCTTCAAAAATACGTACATATTCTTTATTTATTTAGTCTCCTCCTACTATCAGCACCACTACTTCACTATTTCAAGGTGTGGAAATCACAGCTTAGTGTGAAGCAATCCCCAGTCACTTACCTAGTCAACCTAAAATGCCATTTGCTTGAATTTGGATTCAGCTCTATGACAACCCAATGAAATTACTGAATTTCTGTCTCTGCTGGGAGTAAGCAAGGATTGCAAGAACAAAGACCGCTTTATTTACCAAACACTCTGTCTTCAGAACTGATTTTGATATATAGATCTGCAGTAATAAGGAATGTACTGAATGGTTTTATATGACTGTTTAATCATTTCCTGCAAACAAAAGGTTTATTTATTTGATTCTTTTTCTTTTACATAGATGCATACCTTGAAACAGCGCTTCAAATCCTGCTGTCTAACATGTAATCCCAATTGAAGTACTACAAAGTCATCTGAGAAATGTTTATCAGTTTTACTGTAGTTTTGTACAGCAAATCCTATTTCTAAATGGCATTTAGGGCGTTTACATAAGCACCACTTTTATTTTTATAAATAAATATAATCCCCCATTTTATGGCACTCTACAGATGACACGGACATTCGTAGTGCAGCCTATGATATGGTCATACAAAAGAACTTGGATTATTTTTTCATAGCTGAGTACTTTGAGAGTTTTGTTCCAGTGTTTACATTTGTATTTATATTTGTATTGGTATTCAACCCAGGCTAATAGGGGCTGAATGCCATAATCAAGACTAAGCTGTCTAACTTCAGTGATTTATTCAGTTGCACCAATTTAAGCCTTTAAGCAAGCATAATTAACACGTTCATTTTAATTAACTTTCTGCGTCTGCTTTGTCCCTTTGCTGGGTTCCTTCGTGCTAGAATCACGAGTTTGTGGATGAACAGCTCTACGAAGAGAGCTGCATGGAAGTTTCTACAGTCAATAGACCCCCAAGCCACAGCCCCTCGCTGTCGTCCCAACAAGGCGTCACTGGCACTTGCTGCTCACGAAGACATAAAAAGACGTACCGCATCCCCAACACTGCCCTCACAGGCAGCCGCCACGGCAGCGTACAGGAGCTCAGCACCATCCAGATCAGATGTGTAGAGAGGACACCTCTGTCTAACAGGTACCTCTTAGCATCAGCACACCTCTTTGTTCACTAGGGATACGCGTTGGCCTCCACAAGTAGGCTGGGAGGCTGCAGATAAAACTGAAACTGTCATCTGAAAATGGACAGTAGTCCTGAAATAGCCCGCACTCTCTTCTCTCCTAATGTAATTCTAAGATAAAAGAATAGGCAATCTCTTTTCATTTCTGCTCTCTTATGTCCTCCCCATAAACCGTTGTGTGTTCTTTGCAGAGAATAGCATCCAGGGACTCCAAATGATATAAAGCACCAAACAGTACTGCTCACAGACACAGAATAAGAAAAAGCACAGAAAAATGTGCAGTTCATATATTACAAGACAAGCAAATAGGAAGTAAAAGAAAAAGTTGTCACTGCTGTTCCTTGATTTAGTTCAGAAACATAGCACAAATGACACTTCCAAATAAGGTAGAGAAAAGGGAAATAAAACTAGATTGCCAGAGTCACAAGCGCTATAGTAATAAGAAAGTCTCTACCAAACAAAAGGCATGAAATAGATTAAAAAAAATGCATTTTGTATTTCGAGGAGTTATTGAAAAAGTGAGGAAAGTGCAGCTTAAGTCACTGAAAATCTCTGTACTCTCACAAATACAGTTTTACTTTTCTGTGCTCTCACAAATACTCTGACTTTTAGGTGTATCTGAGCACCACCTGTGGGAAAATAGCAAAGGCGTCAGAGGACTCAGAAGTGTTTTCCATTGAACTCAGACATGCTGCCATTTAAAAAAGAAGTGTTCTCAGCATGAGTTACTGGAAAGATTCACTTTTTAAGTGACATTTTGAGTAGCTTGCTTTAAGTAGTTGTTAGGTTTGGATTTCACTTCTATGCACAATTCAGCAGCTTGTAGCTAACGGAGTCTTCCAGCTTAACACAGAGCCCTAGTCTATTTCGGATTGACTGGATCCATCCTTTCTCTGCTGGCAGACTTTCCTGCACCACACCTCCCATCACAGAACAACTAACATAATAAAAAAAAAAAAAAAAAAAAGCAACCCATAAAAAAATAAAGAAAACTAAATAACAACAAAGTTTGAAATGCCAGTCTCACCTTTTATGAGTTAGTTTTAAGTTTTTTATGATGCTGTGATAATGAGGTTAATTAACTCAAACTTATTTTGTGTTCATATCACTCTGTCTTACTACTGAAGGTGTATAACACACAAAGGCTCTTACATAAAGATGGCATGGGAGAGTCGGTAGGGTACTGGGAATTTTGCTTAGTCTCTGTTTCCCTGCAATGTAAGGCACTGGTCATGCTGTTTGCTCCCCACTGAGCAGCCTAAGTGCTTCCCACGCTCAGAAACACTTAGGTGATGAGCTGAGAAACTTTTAGAAGCACAGAAGGTGGGAAAGAAGGGAGAAACGGGCCATGGCCATGGGCTGCCTGCTCACGGGGTATGTGTTGGTAGGGGCCTGGTGTCACTTTGTTGTTCTGAGCTCTGTAATAAGGGAGGGCAGAGAGGATGGCACTAAGCACAATCAGGTGTTCAGGAATATGGGCTTGCTTTCATCATGGGTTCTTGTTTCTTCCTCCAGCCGATCCAGCTTAAATGCCAAAGTGGAAGAGTGCGTTAAACTAAACTGTGAGCAGCCTTACGTCACTACAGCAATAATTAGCATCCCAACACCTCCCGTCACCACACCTGAAGGAGATGATAGGCCAGAGTCTCCCGAGTATTCGGGAGGAAACATTGTCAGAGTATCCGCTTTATAAAATAAGGAATTATTTATAAATTAGAATAAAGACCACTTATAAGCTGAGCTCGAGCGGAGAGAAATGAGTCCTGAGGAATGAGAGAGCTGACAAAGACAACACCCCCTGATGTGTGCGCCAGCAGCAACGGAGTGAGACGGTCAGGAGAACCACAACAATTTGTGGCTGTCGGTGTCGCAGCGTGGGAACCGGTGGAGTTTCTACATACTGTTGGAGCTGACACATAGTGGAAGCTTCTGTGACCATCCTGACTTACTATAGAGCACAATGAAATGTCCCCATTGATGCTTCTTCTTATCATGAGAGCTCTTTTTAGAAAAAAAAAAAAGGAAAAAAAAAGAAAAAATATACATAAAACAAAAAAATAGAAACCCGTGTTCCTGCTGAATGCAAAACAAGAAACATTTTGATAACATGTCTTTTTTTCCTCCTGTTAATAAACCACAAACTTGTTGAGAAACTATTAAAAAAAAAAAAAAAGAAAGAAAAAATGCTCATAATGAAATATGTTTGTACTGACTGAAACAAATACAACCGTAATGCATGCTGAAATTATTTGGAGCTGTGATCTCAGTTTACTTTTGTTGTTTTTCAGATTAGGCATGATAAAATATTACTGTAGAAAGGGGCATTTCTGTGCACTTACAACAAGCTGATTGTTAATGTTCCATGGTAGTTGTACAAATAACTTCCCTTTGAAAAATGCAGTATTTCTTATTCAAACACTCATTAGTGTACTAAAGGTGTTCAGTTAGTTCAGTATTTACTATTGTTTTATCTTGCTTCCTAGGTACTGTTACAACTGCAATAAGTCATTGTACACCTGTTGTATCAGGAATCAGGATTTATTTTTCTTTAAGGTATTTTACACAACTTCATCTACACTATAAACTTCTAATGGCAAATATCTACATAATCTTACATCCAAACTGTGCACCACAAATGTGCTATTCAGTCACTGTTCTTTTTGTCCTCTGTCCTCTATTTCTATGACAGTTCATTGTCTGCTCCAACACTACCGTGCTGTTTGGGACTTCAAGGCTACTAATGATCAGGCACAGTCCTTAGTTCTGTGGACATCTTGTCTCATTCTGTATTTTCAGAACAAACCTCTTGTCCCAGTGTACTGTTGCAGGATCACTCCCATTTGAATTGAGATTAGAACAAAGGTTGTTTGGGGATCATTTAACATTTCTCTCTAAACTTTCCCTGTGGATGTTCTGCAGCATCCAGAGTGTTGGCTGCAGCGGAAGACACTGAAAGACATTCAGTAAAAACAACAGTGAAATTATTCTTGCAATTATCTACAAACTTGAATCCTAAAATTTGTTTGAGAATTTATATTGTGTCAAGATATTTAATTACCTAAGAACACTGATAAATAATGGGTTGGGTCTCAAAGCTATAAAAATGTAACTGATTTCTATTGGGATTTGCCAGTGGGCAGGTCTAACAGATACTATGAAAGCTCTCTTAGTTAAGGTTTTTTGGCTTCATTTTTAGAAGACATTGATGTTAGCAGAAACATTTCTGATAAAAAATGACATTTTTCTTCATGAGAGTGCATTCAAAGATGTATCATAATGCTTCCTATGTACACAAGCTACCATAAATCCTATACATGGAATATTTGCATATCAGTACATACATATATACATCAAGAACACTGGATCAGAAATAATTGCATGTCTGCAAAATAAAATATGCATATAAATCAAAAGGCTCGGTACATTAGTGGCCATTACAATAAATGATTAACACAGTTATTTAATAGTTTGAGTAGTGTATATTTCAACGTAGTATTTGTTAGCATTCTACTGACCTTAAATTTTACATTAGATGACACCCACTAAAAACTGAAACTTGCTGATAGTACACTTTTTACAGCACACAGATATTTCTCTGTACCTGTCAACAGAGACTGAAGAGTAGATGATGGACTATCATGCTACAGTATATGCACCAAAATGTAACAATGTCACCTATTAGAATTGAATTGCAATTAAAAGGAGCATATAATGTAACACATTATGCTTTTTTCTTACTGCTTACTCCTTCAGAAGCTTGGTTAATTTGCAATTATCAACTCGCTTTTTGTGCAAATCAGAACAACTTACTGTAAACCGAGCTTCTAAATTTCTTTCAGATTGTAACAGGTAGCAGAAGCACAGATTGTCCTGTGACAGAGGAACACTCACTTTGAGTAATTCTGATGTCAACTATGTGGTGTTACATGCCTCTCTTTTACCCTGGTAGAAAATTGCAGTAAATCTGCTGAAGCTGGTGGGATAACTAAGTTTTAAAGAGGTTAACATGAGAGGTAGAATGGACCTTGAGCTTATACTTACATCCTCCATCTACCCATGGTCACTCATAAAAAACTGGCTTGGTCCTCACCTTGTGCTGAAAGAACTACTGACATAAAACTGCCTTTACACTAGCAATCTGCAACAACAGCTTAATGCCATATGGTACTTCTTGAATAGGAACATCATTAAATAATGTTAAAAGGCAGTTACCAAACCCAATTCGGGACAGATTACATACAACCCAAGAAACCTACTGACTCCATCAGTTCATGTGTCTCTCAAAAACTCTTTTTTCTCCTTTTTGCATGGACTAAAACAATTGCACTAGAGCAATACACTTGCATAACGGTTATATCCCAGAAACAACCTGTACTTTCATTCTTAAATTACAGTTTAGGGAATAATTTAGTATGATTTTGCAGAATTCCAGTCTTGTCTCATATCTCTACATGTCACATGCAAAATCATTACATTATTCTGAATTTGGAAAATACACATTCTTTTGGTGTTTTAGGTGATTTAAATGCTGTTTTGGTAGTGAATGACTGTTGATGACTGTGTAAAATGCATCTGTACTGTACATGAAATGTAATTATTTCTGTGTATCATACAAAGAAACCGAAGTTGTTGTTTTTGACAATTTTGTTTGACAGTCATATATCGTATTTCGGAAGGCAGCATAATACATGCGTTATGCTGAATAAATAGACATTTGAGGAGTACTTAAATAAAACATCTGCATGCTTGAATGGGTCAACCTAGTTTTGAAATAACTTATTCATGGAACTTGTTTGGTTTGTTTTTTTTCTTTTCCTAACACAATTGAAGGAGCACTGAATCTTGAGGGCAGGGAATTTCCCCAATACTAGTTCCAGGCAACAACAGCTGAGCTCATCTAAACCACAACAGTCACCAAGACCACTCTCCTGCAGCTGCACAGCACAGATCTGCCCTACTCAGTGTGGGCAGCCACCACAATTACCTTCCCCACTCCCTTTGCTAGTAGAGCTGCTAAAGGAGCCCTTTGTTATTTCCTACCCAGCCTCCAGCAGCAGAAAAAATTGTGGTACTGAATTCTTTCCAGTCTCTGGCTTTACCTTTTAGAAGATTTCTGCTAGGATTTGAACATATCCAGTCACTGACTGGATGCATCTCCTAGGTGACAGAATCACCTCAAGACTGATATCAAATTCTCTTGTTGAAATATTAGTGCATGTATGTGATCAAACTCCTCTGGTAGCATGGAAGCAGCTGAAAACACACTGCAGATCATTTTGCAGAGGGCAACTGACAATACGGGTGATGCCACATGCCATAGCAAAGGGAGAAACAACAGCTAACTTTATCAGGAGCTGAACCATCCCAGGGCATTTTTTAACAAGAACCACAGCCCTCCCTCTTCTTTATCTACAGAAGATAAAGATTTTTGAGGGTTTGAATATGCTCACTGTGGAAACACACTCACTGCTGAGTGCCTCTGCAGTGAGAGCTGCACTTGCGCTGTGGGAAAGGGTGACATTCAAGGAGGAAATTGGTCTGGAGGAGGATAGACTAGTAAAGTGAAAGGATAATAAAGATTTGAACAGGGAGGGTACTTAGGAAGTAATGTGCTCACTTGCCTGTATCTGGGGCCCACCACAGTTGCATTTTGCTATTGACCATGGAAATAGCTGAGGACGTTCAGGTATTCTGGAAAAGCAATTAGCAGTAACTACACAGCAAAATTGATTCTGGATATGTAAATGGAGAGCCAGAAGAGCAGTCAGCAGTGAACAACATCCACGTATTTAAATTGACAAAGGCTGTAAGATATAACTAATTATCTAGTATTTTTAGTTTCTCACTTGCCTGCATTATGTATCAATTTACTTTTCAAGTACTCATTCTCATAGCATCAAGGTACAGGGAGGAAAGAAAAGGAGGGAGTAATGAACAAAAGCAAGCAGATGCATACATTTTTTTATGTACTTTGGACATCCCAAGCTTTTAAAGAAATGCAGTAAATTATACCTGAATTTTGAAGTTTTAGATACAATCTCCTTTCACGTGAATTAAACATCATGCTTTAGTGGTAAAAGCTTTAAAAACTATTTTAAAATCTCTCCATGTATCATAATTTAACTATGTAGTTACTGTCATTAACAGTGTCTCTTTTTACTATTCATTCTTTATAATTTTCCCTTAGATTTACAGAGTACTATTACAAAATCCACACAGTTACAAAGAGAAAACAGTTATATTTCCTCAGAAAGCCTTGTCAGCAGATGAAACAAGATTTTGTCCAAAGACCAGTAGCAGCAAATTTTGTCTCCCAGTCACGCTGCAAACCACTCTCAATCTCACAGCTGAAGATTTCCCTCAAGTCAGCGTGACTTGCAGGGCTGAATGGAAGTGCCTGATGTGGGCAGGAGGTGACCCATCTCCTAACACAGCTGTTGGCCTTTACATTAAGTGATCTATGAAAAACATTAAGGAACAGTTCTGCAGTTGCTTCCTATAACAAGAAAGATTGGTTAATCAGTTTATGCTGAACAGAAAAAAGAACATCACCATTCTCTTCTAGATACCCCTCCAAAACTTAAAAAAAATGAAAGTTTGAATTAGTTCTACTATCACAAGTATTTCTAAATATTAACCTCTTGTCAAGCAGCCTCTCTCCTATGTAGATCCCGAAGCTCTAAAGTAAAAGAACAGACTTAAAGTCAGTCAATCCATTTTAAAACTCTTTAATCAAGCCCTAGGAAAACAGAGACACCTGAAAGTCCAAGCAAAGAAAAATGGAAGTTTGAAAGCATTCCAATTTACAGCTGAGACCAAGATTGACAAATGGGGTTAGATACCCAGAATTGATGTTTTCTTTTGCGTAATACCCATCGGTGGTCCTTACTAAGAAAAGGATTACTTTCATCAATCCTGATGTGTAGATCTTTCAGCAAACTAAGCTAACCCCATTCTGAATGTAGACTGGCACAGGATTTGG